GAGTTTCCCCAGTGTTTTATAAAACTCCAGGATGAGTTGTAAATAATGCTGCAGTAAACACGGGTGTGCCTGTGTTTATATATCCTTTGTGTAAATACCTAAGAGTGGAATTACTAGGTCATACAGTAGTTCTATTTGTAGGTTTCTGAGGAATCTCCATATTGTTTTCCAAAGTGGTTGTACTAATTTGCATTCCCACCAACAGTGTAGAAAAGTTCCCTTTTCACCACAGCCTCACCTCAGCACTTACCATTATTTGCTTTTTAATTTTAGTTAGTTATTCTCACTGGGGTTAAGTGGTATCTCATTGTGGTTTTGATTTGCATTTCCCTTATGATGAGAGATGTCAAGCATGTTTTCATCTGCCTTCTGGTCGTTCATCTGTCTTCTTTGGAGAATTGTCTATTCATCTCATTTTCTCATGTTTTTGTTGGTTTGATTTTTTTTGTGGGTAAGCTGCTTGTGTTCCCTGTATATTCTGGTTATCAGTTACTTATCAGAGGTATAGTTTGCATACCCACTCTAATGGCTGTCCTTTCACTCTAACTATTCTTTCTTTGGCTGTGCAGAAGTTTCTCAGCTTAATATAGTCCCATTTATCTATTTTTGAGACTATTGCCTGTGCTTTGGGGGTCTTTTTTTAAGAAGTATTTACCTACCCTAAGGTCTCCAAGATTTTTTCCTGTGTTTTCCACCAGTATTTTTATAGTTGAGGTTTTATGTTTAGATCCCAAATCCATTTTGAGTTTATTTTTGTTAGTGGTGAGAGATAAGGGTCCAGTTTCATCCTTCTGCAGGTGAATATCCAGTTCTCCCAGTTCCATTTGCTGAAGAGATTTTCTTTTTCCCACTGGACTGTCTTGTGCCCTTTGTCTGTTGGCTGAATGTTTTGGGGGTTATTTGGGGGTTCTCAATTCTGTTCCATTGGTCTCTCTGTTTTTGTGCCAGTACCATGCTGTTTTAATTATCCCAGCTCTGTAATATGTTTTGAGGTTGGGAAGTGAGATGCCTCCTACTTTATTCCCTTTGCACAGTATCACTTTGGGGAAACGAGGCCTTTTATGATTCCAGACAAATTTTATGATTGCCTTTTCTGTCTCTATGAGGAATATCTCTGGTAGTTTGATTGGAATTGCATTGTATTTGTAGATTAATTTGGGTAGGGTTGATATCTTGACTATATTAATTTTTCCAATCCAGGAACATGGGACGTTTTCCCACTTTTTTGTATCATTAAAATTTTTTTCAAGTGTTTCATAGTTTTCCTTGTAGAGATCTTTGATGTCTTTGATAAGGTTTATTCCTAGGTATCTCACTGGGTTTGTGGCTATTGTAAATGGGATTGCTGCCTTCAGTTCTGTCTCAGTTTGTCCATTGTTGGTGTATAAAAATGCTACAGATTTTTGCATGTTGATTTTGTATCCCGCCTCTTTACTATATTCATTTATCACTTCCAGGAGCTTTTTTATTGATTCTTTTGGATTTTCTAGGTGTAGCATCATATCACCTGAAAATAGAGATGATTTTATTTCTTCTTCTCCTACTTGATGCCTTTTATTTGACTCTGTTGTCTGATTGCATTGGCTAGAACTTCTAGTACTATCTTAAAAAGGAGTGGAGATAGCGGGCAGCCTTGTCTTATTCCAATTTTTAGTGGAAAAGCTTTCAGCATTTCCCTATTCAGTATGATGTTAGCTATGGGTCTTTTATAGATGGCTTTTATCATGTTGAGGAATGTCCCTTCTATGCCGATTTTGCTGAGAGCCTTAATCATGAAGGATGTTGTATTTTATCGAATGCTTTTTCTATATCAATTGATATTATCATATGGTTTTCATCTTTTCTTTTGTTAGTGTATTACATTTATTGTTTTGCATATGTTGAACAATCCTTGCATCCTTGGTATATATCTTATTTGGTCATGGTGTATGATCTTTTTATCATGTTTTTGAATACAATTTGCTACTATCATGTTGAGATTTTTTGCATCTGTGTTCATCAGGATATGGGCCTGAAGTTTTCTTTTTTTGTCATGTCCTTATCTGGTTTTGGAAATAAGATGATGGGGGCTTCATAGAATGAATTCAGGAAGGTTCCTTCCTTTTGAACATTTAGAAATAGTTTCAGGAGAATTGAAGTTAGTTCTTTAAAAATTTTGTAAAATTTAGAAGTAAAGCCATTGGGACCTGGGCTCTTCCTTGTTGGGAGACTACTCATTACTGATTCAATCTCATTGTTTATTAGGGGTCCATTCAGACCTTCTATTTCTTCCTGGTTCAATCTTGGTAAGTTATAAGTCCAAAAATGTGTCCATCTCATCTAGGTTTTCTTGTTTGTTGGCGTATAATTGCTCATAGTATTCTCTGATAATATTTTGTATTTCTGTTATGTCCATTGTAATGATGCCTGTTTCCTTGCTGATTTAATCTATCTGTTCTTGATTAATCTAGTTAACAGTGTGCCAATTTTGTTTATCTTCTCAAAGAACCTGCTTTTGGTTTTATTTATTTTCTGTATAGTTCTTTTCTTTTCTATTTTATTTATTTCTGCTCAAATCTGTATTGTTTCTTTCCTGCTGGAGTCCATTGTTGTTTTCCAGCTCCCTGAGTTGTGTCGTCGGTTTGTGTATCTGCCACCTTTCTGCTTTCTCCTGTGGGCACTAACTGCTGTGAACCTTCCTCTTGTGACTGCTTTGCTGTGTCTCATATATTATAGACACTTGTTTGTTTGTTGTTTTTGGTTTCTATGAACCTTTTGATTTTGGTCTTAATTTCTTTTGTAGTTGTGAATTCGTTCTGGAGTAAGTTGTTTAGTTTCCACGTGTTTGTATATTTTCAAGGGCTCTTTCTATAGTTGATTTCAAGTTTGATTCCATCTTGGTCGAAAAAGATGCTATATATATTTTCTATACATTTGAATTTGTAAAGGCTTGTTTTGTGTCCTATCACGTGATCAGTCTTCAAAAATGTTTCATGTGGGAGTGTATATATTTTGTGTTTGTGGGGTGAAATACTCTGTAGATGTCTGTCAAGTCCATTTCATGTGTGGTATAATTT